AGACACCTTTCCTCCTCTGCGTCCCGTTGTCCCTTCAAAACCCCTCTTCCCCATTTCTCTCTGGGGCTCTCAGGTCAGAAGAAAGAAAACACGGTGAGAATTGCTGAACTGTTGAGGTACCATCTGGATGTTGCTTTGTCTCCCCCAAACCCAGAAACCAGGCTCCATGGAGCAGACAGAGACTCTGATTAGGAACAGTGGGGCCTCACAACCTCAGGAATGGCTTGATGGACAGGTGAGAACACCCCATTGTCTCAGCGTCCAGGTTAACTTTTTATGACTCTCCCCTTAGGCAAGGCGTGCTCCAGTGCCACCATAACGTTGCCCTCTCTCACAGCCACACCCCTCTTCCTCCTGCAACCTGGGACCACCAGATTGAATGTCCTCTTTCAATGCCCCATCCTTAGGGTTTATCAAGCCTTAGCCGGAGCAGGGGCAGCCCCTGGGGAGACCTGCCGGCCCAGCCAGCAGCCCTGCATTCCTGTCAGCCACAGCTGGATGACCCTCACGTGAGTCTTTCCTGGCTCTCAACGCCCAGAACCTCTCTGCACCTGTCTTCTGCTCCTTGAAAATAACATTTTTCTTTCTGGTGTTTGCTCTTCTCCAGTCACCCCACCCCCAAACTTTAACAGGCCTTACCCCTTAGAGAGTACCCTTGAGGGCTGTGGGTGACACAGGGGTGGCTTACAAGCAATAACCCATGCCTTTCCCAGGAGGAAAAGTCAGGTCTGATCAACATGACCAAGATTGCTCAAGGAGGGCGTAAACTCAGGTGAGGACCCAGAATATGTCAGGGGTCTAGGCTATTGGGTTTCACAGGGTAGAAAGCAATGGTGACGGTGCCGGGGAGGGGAGGAGGGAAGCAGGCACTCCAGGTGAAACTCTAAAATGACCTTTTAACTACTTCTACTCCTCCCTTCCCCCCACAGGAAGAACTGGGGCCCGGCTTGGGTGGTGTTAACTGGTAACAGCCTTGTGTTCTACCGAGAGCGGCCGCCGCAGTCTGCGCCGTCCCAAGGCTGGGTGAGCATCGGCCAGGGGGAGCAGCAAGGGTTTGGGGGTTACTGGTTTGCACCTCGGGTCAACAGATGGGGGCGGCAAGGAAGGAAATGGAGGAGAAGGTAAAGGAAGGCGGAAGCAGCTCACCGCCACCAACCCAGAGGGAAGCGGTGAGGAAACAGAGTCAGCCTCAGTTTCTCCCGTCATCGCCAGGCGCCGGCTGGAAGCCGGCCGGAAAGCAGCGTGGACCTGCGTGGGGCGGCCCTGGCTAACGGGCGCCACCTGTCCAGCCGCCGCAACGTCCTGCACGTAAGTGCCGTCTCGCGCGGCCCCAAAGATTTGGGGGACGAAGTGGACGGGGTGACCAGAGGACGCTCGACCTCGCAGCGTTCTAGGCTCTCCTCGCTGACGCGAGCCTTTCCTGCCCGACCCCCAGATCCGGACGGTTCCCGGCCATGAGTTCCTGCTGCAGTCGGACGAGGAGCCAGAGCTGCGAGCCTGGCATCGCGCGCTGCGGGCGGTCATCGAGCGTCTGGTTAGAAGGGTGCAGAACCCCGAAGGCACCCTGGAGGCTAGACCCGGGAAAGGGAGGGACAAAGAGAAGGGCTGTGGGAACCAGGCGGTCTCGGGTGGAGTCCTGACCTTGAGTCAGGCTGGAATGTGGGGGTGCCGATGCTCTCCCTTGCATAATCCCACCCTGGCTGCCTGGGTCTAGGATCGGGAGAACCCCCTAGAGCTGCGTCTATCCGGCTCGGGACCCGCAGAGCTGGCGGAGCTGAGCGCTGGTGAAGATGACGAGTTGGAGTCAGAGCCGGTGTCCAAGCCACTGCTAAGGCTTAGCAGCCGCAGGATTTCTAGTACGAAGTGGGACTGAGCTGGCCGGGCTGGGTTGCAGGGAAACGTCCTCCGCTGGAGCTCACACTCCTTGGTTTGGCAGGTCGGGGTGCCGAGGGCACTGAGCAGAAGAACCGCGTGCGGAACAAGTTAAAGCGGCTGATCGCCAAAAGACCAACCTTGCAGAGCCTTCAGGAGCGAGGCCTGTTCCGAGGTAGGCTGGGCTAGACCAGTGGGGCACTGCTCTTTGTGCCAGCTTTACTAGTGTTTCTGTTTTGTGTAGGTTTCGGTTTTCAGATTTTATTGTTATTGATATATACTCTCAGTATATATCCCCGGGTTTTCCTCAAATTTAGGCATTCCTCCTGCCTCAGCCTCCCAAGTGTCTGGGATTACAGGTGAGAGGCACCATGCTGGGTAGTGGCTGGTGCCTTTAAGCCCAGCACTCTGGGGGATCTCTGAGTTCCAGGACAGCCAGGGCTACAAGTCTTAGCATTAATAAAAACTCTAGTGAGGCTCAAAGTAGAGCTTCCAGACCCAGGTTAGAGTCAACTGACACTCCTGCTTCTCCTCCACTCCTCATTATTTGAGGAGCAGAGGCAGGGCGTCCTTGCCCCCACGTGGCAGCAGACCCAGGCTTACATGGATAGTGAGGACCTTTACTGATCCACCCCCCTCCTCTGCAGACCAAGTGTTCGGTTGCCAGTTGGAATCGCTGTGCCAAAGGGAAGGGGACACCGTGCCCAGCTTTGTCCGGCTCTGTGTTGAGGCTGTGGATAAAAAAGGTTGTGTTTCCCAAACTCCAAAAATCTCCCCTTTCAAGCCCTAGGACCCAATCGCCCCATCTCTGCCTTCCTCCTGACTCCTTTCTCCCTTAAACACTTTTCGAGTCCCCATCTTCCCTATCCCTCTTCTCCTAGGTCTGGATGTGGACGGCATTTACCGAGTGAGCGGGAACCTGGCAGTGGTCCAGAAACTGCGATTCCTGGTAGACAGAGGTGAGAGGACTTGGGAGGAAGTAATGAATCGAAGAATCGGTACCTCAGAACCAAGAGCGGTTCTGAGGGAGGGAGTCGGAACTGCGTGTCTCAGCTACTAGTCTCTTCTTGTGCTTGTTACAGAACGGGCAGTCACCTCTGATGGGAGATACATGTTTCCAGAACAGCCAGGACAAGGTACTTACACCTCAGACTCTCAAAAAGCTGACTGATGCCCTCTTTGTACCCCACGGAATCCCCCCCCCATGTCCCACCCCGACAAAGACTGTCCCCGTTGTTACCATGCCCTACTATGGGCCATCGTCACATTCTTGTGACATGTTTTGATTAGATTTCCCCCCAAATTCCTGATCTTTGAGTCCGGAACCCAAAGAACTTCTTTTTCCTTCTAGAAGGCAAATTAGATTTAGACAGTGCGGAATGGGATGACATTCATGTGATCACTGGAGCCTTGAAGCTTTTTTTACGGGAGCTGCCAGAGCCTCTGATGCCTCCACCGTTGCTGCCTCATTTTCGTGATGCCCTCGGTAAGGGTCAAGAGCTTCGGTGATCCTCCTGCCATGGGAGGACCTGTGCAGTAGAGACTAGAACAGGGGGTCCCTTCCGTCTTCCTCTGCGAGGATGGGAAATAATTACATGCCAACTATAGGGATGGGGGAATATGTGTGTGAATGTTTAGAGGATCGAGTTGGGAAGAACTCTGAAAGTCGCAGGTGAGCTATGGGAAAGAGCGGAGCCCTACAGCTCGGCAGTAAGTTGTGTGCTTATTGTAGGCCCTGGGTTGAATCTCTTGTACCGAAGTGCAGAGGGGAGAGCACGAGACAAATGATACCATTCATGGACAAGGGAAAGAGTGCATCATTTACCCACCCTGTCATAACCTCTCTCTCTCTCTCTTGTCCTTCCCGTCGCTCTCTCTAGAACTTTCTGAGCCAGATCAATGCCTCTCTGAAATAAAAAAATTAGTAGACTTGTTGCCGAAGCCCAACCGTGACACACTGCAGTACATCCTGGAGCATTTATGCAGGTCAGGAAGACTCAACAGCCTGTTCATGCTGGGGAGGATGGAGTGGGTGTTCCTCAGGGACTGACCAGGAAGCACGGAGATGGGGGTGTTCCTCAGGGACTGGCCGTGAGCACGGAGATGGGGGTGTTCCTTAGGGACTGACCAGGGAGCATGGAGATGGGGGTGTTGCTCAGGGACCAACAGGGGAGAACAGAGAGGGGGGTGTTGCTTAGGGACTGATGGGGAGCACTAACATCCTAGCCTTTGGCTAGCTCAGCATCAAATGAGCACCCAATAAAACCAGCTATGCTGTGAGATTAGGGAATTCTGCTCTGTCCCTTCCCTGACTTTAGTCTCCCCCTAGGGCAGGGTGGCTTGTTTAGCTGAGCTGCTTTGGGGCACATTTGAATACAAGCCTCCCATGTTGTGAGCTTAAAGAACTTTGGGGTGTTCCCTGGAGCTGAGAACTAAACAGTTCTACCCAACTTGTGCCTCCAAGTCGTATCCTGAAGGTTTCTCCACTGGCCCATCTCTGTTCCTCTGTACTTGGTTCCTTCAGCCAGCATGTGGAGGGATCCCAGCGTGATCTCTGCTCTGCTCCATACCTATCTGATGGGGCTATACTGGCTTGTTGGGTACCTGTCGCCTACCTCCCCTGTCCTTGGCTTTGTCCCCAGGGTGATCTCACACTCAGATAAGAACCGAATGACCGCCCACAACCTGGGAATTGTGTTTGGACCAACGCTGTTCCGCCCTGAGCAAGAGACCTCTGACATGACAGCCCACGTATTCTACCCTGGGCAGTTGATCCAGCTGATGCTCAACAATTTTGCAAGCCTCTTCACCTGACTCGGGCAGGGAGGAGGAAGACATGGCCATTTGTCAGCTGGTCTTCGGAGAGGACATCCCAAAAGCTCTCTCCCGGAGGCTGCTCTTCCACTGGGCTGTCAGATGTGGGAGAAGAGGAAGGTGTGTGAGCCCCACTTCCAGTCTCCCCAAGATGACACATGGGGCTCTTACTCTCAGCCTTCCTTTATTGTCAGGAAACCTGTCGTTATTAAAGTGTTTTCCTGGAACACACAGAGACTAAATACAGCCCCCAGTCCAGTCCTGCCATCCCTGGGCACCTCATGTAGCCATCTAGGAAACACCGATGTGCTTGGGATGCCTTATCCTTCTAGGCACTGGAGTTGAGGAATTGTGTCTCTCCAGGCAGAGACCCCAGTAACACACTCATGTTACCCACTGCCATGTTGGGGGGCCCAGAGGGAGATGGGGTATTTTTAGAGCTGTCCCCTTGCTCATGGGAAGGAGGAGGACTCAGCCCCTGGGCCTCATCCAGAATAGCCACGAAGTCCAGCTGAGTGCTGTCCAGGTCAAGAGAGTCCAGAGGGTTGGACATCTGTCCTTCAGGGGGAGGGTACAAGGCAGGACCTGCTCCCAACCTGCCCACTTCAGGATGGCCACAGCTGGGGTTGGTGCCCCCCACCTTGAGGGATCCATAGCAAGAGGGCAGTGGGGGCAGAAGCCGGGGTGGTGCTGCTGCTGCTGGCCTATGGGAAGGCCTGTTTACCCCAACTCCAAAAGTCTCATTGCATGGTGAGGGGGTAGGAAAGGAGCCTGGCTTGTGATTGGCCAGGGTAGGTGCAAAGCCTGATCCGTACATAGCTGCTGGCCCTTTGGCAGGGCTCTGATTAGCTTGGGAACCCCCCAGAAACTTGGAGCTCTGATATGGAAGTTCCTGGGTGGGGAGCCCTCCCCGGCCCTTGTCCTCCCACAGCAGTTCCTGCTGCGACTGAACGTAACTACACACAAGCTGAGCTTTGAGCTGTCCCGTGGGGTGAGAGAGGGAGTCAAAATCGAGGCCAGGCCTGTGTTCTGATGGAAGATAATCATGGGGAGACCGAGGGTAGGGACCCGACTGGGGATACTGGGGAGGAGGGGGTTGGGGATAATGGGAAAATGGAGGTTGTGAACCTGGGGACCCCCCACTGGGGTGGGCGTTGAGGCAGGGTGCCAGTCCAGGGGAGTTAGACCCCACCGGGCACCCTTGTTCTGGTTTTACCTGCACTTGTCCATAATGTTCAAGTCGAGGAGGACACTGGCTATAGGCTTCATTTGGAGCCTTAGTGCCAGGGCACATTCCAGAATGGGAAGGGAACTCAGTCCATGATTCTGGGGTGGGGTCAGGATAGGAGACCTGCTGAGGACAGTGGCTAGGGCCATAGTTGGTCAGTGGACCTGGGCCCCTAGCTCCGTAGGGCTCAGCCGCCGTTCCCTCAGGTCCCCCATATCCCAAAGTATCTGCAGATGAAAAGTCCATGTATGGATTCAGACCATTGCCCATCATGGAAGTTCCAACCTCTGGCTCCTCCTGTAGCCCTCTGGTATCCATAGCAACATTTTCGGTGATGCTGGGGGGCTGTGGTGAATACACAGAGGTAGGGAGGTGGGGATCGAAGTTACGCCCAGTTGTTCCACTAGGGGGCGTGTGGACACATCCCAAGCTCTTGAACCGCTGGACTCTGGCTGGAGCAGGATGGTCAACAGCCCGGGCTGGGTCACTGGCTCTCCGGGTGACCCCTGCATTGGGGTTGTATCCTGGGTACTCAGCTCGGCTTCTCCAGGGAGGTCCAGAAAGACCCCCCATCCGATCCAGGCTGTGTGCTGCAGTAGGTGGGGTGCCACTCCCTCTGGCTGACACGTATCTTGAACGGAGCATGTAGTGCTGGGCAGGTGTGAGACCAGGAAGGGACGACGCGCCATTCTCCGGTGGGGATCCCGGTGGGAAAGGGGAGGCCAGAGAGGAGCGGCGGCTGACTGTGTAGGCAGAGCTGACGCTGCTGGAGCTGCTGCTGCGGTGGTCAAGGGAGCCCGGGGGGCCCAGCCGGCGAGACATGGTTGTGCCTGCAAATGACGAGAGAGAAGGCAGGTGGTAGGGAGCCCCGCGGTTCCCACCCTGTGTTCCCACAGGCTAGCCTTGACCTGGAACCCACGGTAAAGAGTCCTAGGCTTCTTCGCCCCAATCACCCTGTCTGTCTCCGTTCACCGCACTTACTCTGTTTGGCCAAGGGTTCCAGGCAGTGACGGGGATAGCACATCACAGAAGTATTGCTGCCCTAGTCTCCAGTGGTGCGGCTACAGATGTATAACCGCCACGCATAGATAGATATCATAATTTTCTGATCGATGGAAAAAAAGTATCTCCAAGGAAGGGAGTATTTTTGTTTTTGTTTTTTTGAGACAAGGTTTCTCTGTGTTACACCCTAGTTGTCCTGGAACTAGCTCTTGTAGACCAGGCTCACCTCGAACTCACAGAGATCCGCCTGCCTCTGCCTCCCGAGTGCTGGGATTAAAGGTGTGCGCCGACACTGCCGGGCTTGGAAGGGAGTATTTTTCAGACAATAAAAAGATGCCACGTGGCAACTCAAAGGATGACCTCATCACCTCAACTCAGGACAGGTCCCCAGCTCAGCAACACCTCCCATACCCAGGTCTCACCAGCATGGGTTAAGCTGGGCAGTTTGAGACCCCGGGACCCTATTGGCCGGAGCTGATGCAGCTGATCCAGCCTGAGGTTCTCCAGGCGGTGAAGTGTGGACAGTCCAGTGCCGGCAACAGAAGGCCCTTCATCCAGGCTGGACAGGTCCTCAGTGCTGCCCCCCGCAGTGCCGGTCATTTCCACACCGCTGTCAGTATTGGCTGCACTGCCCGCTGGGGAGTGGTCACTGCTGCAGGAGGATTGTGCTCCAGGGCTCTGCTGCGGTTTCTGTGAAGAGGCCAAGAGTGGAGGGTGGCACCCTCCCCCCAGGGAGTGGCTGAAGCCTATGTCCCAGTGTTTGCAAGGGCTGAGGACTAAGCAGGCAAGAGGTTGGGGTGAACTAGAGGAAAAATGGGAAGGAACCCTGCTGGGGTACAGACTCCCAGGGCTCCAGTCCAGCTTAGTCCTAGGACCCTGACAAATTATCTTTGCCTGTTTCCTCTTTTGAGGAATACACAAAATATTGTACACCTAAAGCTTGGAGCTAGGTAAGAGCTACTTAAGAGTGAGTCCACAGGGGGCTGAAGATTTGCTTCCTGGTGAAGCATTTGCCTACCTTTGTTGTCCATATTCCCAGGAGCACCCCCTCCCGGCCCCAAAGTGAATGTATTGGACCAATTAGACAATGGAAAATTCTAATGTCACCCTTAGATCTGGGGTCAGCCAGGGAGCAATACTAAAACTAGAGACAGGTAGGCTGGACGCAGAAGACTGCATGTAGGAAGGTATGCTTCTAGGGAGAGGTCGGCTAGGAAGAGGTCAGCAGGGCATGATGGGATACGGAGGCAAGACTTCCTCCATGGCTGGCTCACCATGGCACCCTCGGGCACGGTCAGTCTGCTCTCTTCCCTTATGGGTCCTCCTTCCCTTTCCCGCTTGGGTTCCACTGTGGAAAGGGACGGTGCCCGTGGCAACGGGCCGTCCCCTCGATGCCGCTTGGTCACGTGGGCATCAGGACCATGCACTGTCTTGACGTGTTTGCGGAGTGAGCTGGGATCTGTGTAGCGCTTGGTGCAGCCAGGGAGCTTGCACACATATGGCTTCTGTGGAGTAGCGTTGCCAAGTCAAAGGCCAAGGGATCAAGGCAGAACACAAACAGAATGGGAAAAGCCACAAGGGGTGAGTGAGAGAGCACACACAGCCTTCGAGGAAGGAAGGGGAATGTGAGCCCTTGGTGAGAGGCTTCTAGAAGGATTAGAAAACAGATGGTGTGGGTACAAAAAAAAAAAAAAAAAGAAGTGACCACCTCCCCCATCCCCAAGGCTGTGAGGCCACACAAATTCAGAAGTTGAAGGGGTCAGGGGTCTACTTAACACAGACCCTTTGCCTGGCTAGACCAAAGAGAGGCATTTTTCAGAAGTGTTTCCTGTATGAATTACACAGCAAGGGGAACTCACGGCCGGAGTCCTGGGTTAGGGGGCTCTTTACGGGGGAAACACTTAGACGTGTCTGAAATGGGAAGCGTCTGGTAATTTGGGCATTCACCTCATTGGAGTGCGTCCGATTCTGGTGCTTGGCGCGGTCGCTGGCATTGCTGAAGGCCTTGCTGCAGCCTTCATGTTCACACATGTACGGCTTCTCACCCGTGTGTGACCGAAGATGAGTCTTCAGGTTTTCAAGACGTGAGTACGACTTCCGACACCCTTCAAACTGAAAGGGGTCAAGCCACATTTCTCAGACAGGACACGGAAATTTTATGATTTAAACTAAAACTGGCGGGTCATGAGGAGCCAAGAGAATACCAGGGAATCGGGCACAAGGGCAGGTGGGATCTAAAGGCAGAGAAAGCTGGAGACCGCTCAGGGTAGGGGGCACGGTGAAGTAGGGAGCATCTTAAGCAGGTGTCCTGGCATAGAGCTTAGACTGTCCTAGAGAGGCGTCAGGAGTGTCCTTCAGCAACTGACACTAGGAAATGCAATAGCAAGAATACTAAGGAAGCCAGGTGGTGATGGTGCACGCCTTTAATCCCAGCACTCAGGAAGCAGAGGCAGGTGGATGTCTGTGAGTTCGAGGCCAGCCTGGTCTATAAAAGCTAGTTCCAGGATAGGCTCCAAAGCTACAGAGAAACCCTGTCTTGAAATACAAAAACAAAAAAAGGAATACTAAGGGACCCACAAGGGATTCATAAAAAAATGTTTTCATTTATTTTATTATTATTTTGGTTTTTCAAGACTGGGTTTCTCTGTATAGCCCGAACTGTCCTAGAACTCACTCTGTAGACCAGGCTGGCCTTGAACGCACAGAGATCCGCCTGCCTCTGCCTCCTGAGTGGCGGGGATTAAAGGCTTGTGTCACTATGCCTGGCTATTAGTTTGGTTTTCTGAGACAGAATCTCACTGTGTAGTCTTGGCTGACCTTGAACTCACTATGCAGACCAAGCTAGTCTCAAAATGATAGAGATCTGCTTGCCTCTGCCTTCCTAGGACTGAAATTAAAGGCATGTACCACCATGTCCAGCATGTTTTCATTTCTTTTAAAATCAAAAGGGAAAAAAATATTTTTGATCCAAGACTTAATTTTGCTATGTTTTTGTTTGCTATTTATTTGTTTGCTTGTTTGTTTATTTATTTATGAGATAGAGTATTACTGTGTCACCCTGACTAGCCTGGAACTCCTCACGTAGACCAAACTGGCCTTGAATTCAGAGAGATCTGCTTGCCTTTGCTGGCTGGCTTGTTTTTGTTCTTCGGGTTTTTTGATTGTTTGTTTTTCCTTTTTTGAGACCTAGTTTTTTTTTGTGTTTTTTTTTTTTTTTTTTTTTTTTTTTTTGGTTTTTTCGAGACAGGGTTTCTCTGTAGCTTTGGAGCCTGTCCTGGAACTAGCTCTTGTAGACCAGGCTGGCCTCGAACTCACAGAGATCCACCTGCCTCTGCCTCCCGAGTGCTGGGATTAAAGGCGTGTGCCACCACCGCCCGGCGAGACCTAGTCTTAAACTCTAGATTCTCTTCCCTCAGCTTACTAAGTGCTAGTGTTACAGATATGTAACATAGCATACCAAGAAGATATTTTAGGGCCAGCAAGATGGCTCAGTGATTAGAGGTGTCTGTGGGCAAGGTTGAAAACCTGAGTTTGATTCCCCAGGACCCACATGGTGGAAGATGAGAACTGAGTCCCGCAAGCTGCCTGCTGACCTCCATATATGCACTTTGGAATACAAGCCCCCACCCCATAAAATGCCACCGAAAACATCGTAATATATATCACTATGCTCATCTTTCTATCAGTACAGTCTTCAGGAAGATTTTAAACATTTGCTTACAAAGGAAGGGGCACTGAAGGCACAAGTCTACCTTGGACCCTCGGATGGGCGCCTCACCGTGCATTTGTGCGGCTTCTCGCCCGTGTGTCTGCGCATGTGCACCACCAGCATGTACTGCGCTTTGAAAGGCCTCAGCTCCCTGGAGCAGCCCCCCCAGTGGCACACGAACTCCTTCCGCTCCCCATGGATGTGTTCGCTGTTGATATGCTGAGGAGGGAGAAAACGAGGCTTTCCGGGGTTCCCGATGTCACCCAAACCCAGCCCCCTACTCAAAGGGTCACATATCCCATACCCTAAGTTTTCTAGAGCAGAGAGTAACCGAGCTTTGGTTATGAGGGACTGAGCATGCAATCTCTGACCCCGGTACCCTTGAACGTCCTGCCCTGGGGCAGACCATAAAGCCCACTCAGTCTCCCACCGGCTCCCACCAACCATCTGCTACTCCCTGGGGCTCACGTGCACCAGCTGCTCCTGGGAATCAAACTCCTGGCTGCAGCCATCCCAGCGGCAATCAGTCTCATACACGGACTCAGGCTCAGGTTTCTCCTCCAGGTCCTCCCGCCCATCCAGCATCCCCAGCAGGGGATCCTAGGGCAAGGGAGACACTCTTAGGGTCATTGGTGGCAAGTTTTGTTTTGCTCAGGCCCCACAAAGAAAGCCCCACCCTTCCTCTTACCTGTGTGCCTGTGGAGTTGGGGCTGGACATGTCACCTTCCAGAGGCTCCTCTGGGCACTTGCCCACCAGCATGTCCAGCTCTGACTTCAGCTTCCCCGGGGGAAGAGGTGAGGGTAATGAGGATGGAGTAGTCAGAAGGAAAAGCTTGCCAGGTCCTTCTGCCCTACAGGCCCCCACCCAAATAGCAGGAACCCTGTGAGTGAGGAAGGGCTTCCTCCACAGCCTGCACTGCTGAGTGGGATGGACAGGAGGTGTGCTCTCACCTGGGAGAGCCTGAGTCAGCCCCGCAGGGTGAACCTACCATCTACACCTGCCCCGCTGCTAAACCTACCACCCACCTATCCTGAGCTGGGAAGCCAAATATGAGGGCATTGTGGAGAGCCCCACCTGGCAGGTCGGACGTGGTCCTCGGGACTGAGGACGCAGCATCATCGCACCCCGAGTGGAATCATGTGGAACACAGGGCTGGACACCGTAGGAAGGCGAAGTCCCTTTTTGGTGGCTCATCTGGGGTGGGAATCCTAGAGATGGGCTAGGTGAAGAGGAGGCTGTTATTTAGGACTATCAGTCACGAGAGTCCTTGCTCTGTTTTGTGAGTTTCGGGAAGGCGGGGTTGAATAAGTCCCAGGGGTCTCTGAAAAGGGTCCAGTGCTTTGGGAAGGGTAGGGATTCAAGTTGGGGTGGAGGTTTGGGTTTGAAGGGTCTGAGTTCTCTAATGGGTTTCAGTACAGATTGTAGGGGCCTCTTAGTTTGAGGCTGCCAGCACCTCATGGTGCCAATGGAGAGGTGGCCATAGGAACCTCCAGGGGATGTGCAGCGGGCGTTGATGAATGCCACAAGGGAGCTGGGCGAGGTACGAATAACTGTTTGTAGATCCAGGCTGGCGTCAGACAGAGGTGAGAGGGAGAGCGCCCGCTTCTTTGTCAGTTTGACTGAACTCCGGGAAGGAGGAAAGAGTGGCCCTATGGCAGGAGAGACAGGAGTCAGGACCAGCAAAGGGGACTGGAGAGATGGCTCAGTAGTTAAGAGCACTTGCTGTGGCCGGGCGGTGGTGGCGCACGCCTTTAATCCCAGCACTCGGGAGGCAGAGGCAGGCGGATCTCTGTGAGTTCGAGGCCAGCCTGGTCTACAAGAGCTAGTTCCAGGACAGGCTTCAAAGCTATAGAGAAACCTTGTCTCAAAAAAACAAAACAAAACAAAACAAAAAAAGCAAGCCGGGCGGTGGTGGCACACGCCTTTAATCCCAGCACTCGGGAGGCAGAGGCAGGCGGATCTCTGTGAGTTCGAGGCCAGCCTGGTCTACAGAGCTAGTTCCAGGACAGGCTCCAAAGCCACAGAGAAACCCTGTCTCGAAAAAACAAAAAAAAAACCAAAAAAACAAACAAAAAAAAAAAGAAACAAACAAAAAAAAAAGCACTGCTGTTCTTCCAAAGGACTTGAGTGCGGTTTCCAGCACCCACATCAGGTGGCTCACACCCACTACCTATAACTCCAGCTCCAAGGATGTCCCACACCTTTGGCCTGCCAGGGCACCAGCATGCACATGTGCACACCCACACAGACACAAACACATACACTGCTTAAAAAATAAAATTTAAAAAGAAAAGATATGGTAAAGGTACATGTCTCTGTGCACTCAGTGTGGGTGGGGTCTGACTTAAAAAAGCAAAATGTTGCCGGGCGATGGTGGCGCACGCCTTTAATCCCAGCACTCGGGAGGCAGAGGCAGGCGGATCTCTGTGAGTTCGAGACCAGCCTGGTCTACAGAGCTAGTTCCAGGACGAGCTCCAAAGCCACAGAGAAACCCTGTCTCGAAAAACCAAAAAAAAAAAAAAAAAAGCAAAATGTTTTTTTTTTTTTTTTGTCTTGCTCTTAGGACCTCTTGATTGTTCTCTGATCCCTTTCATCTCTGGACATCTCTTCCACTGAGTTGGGTCCTTGCCTTCCCACTTCCTCCTTCAGAACCAGTCCCAGAGGGCGGGGTGGGGGGGTGGGGAGGTGGGGGAGGGAGTTCCTGAGTCCTCACCCTCAGTACAGCTGCTGGTCTCTCTGGCAGACCCATAACCCTGGGGCCCTGACATAAAGTTGGCTTGGTGGCAAAAGGGCAAACCAGAAAATCCTAGAAAAGAGAGACAGCTGGACTGGGGCATTCGGATGGGGAGATACAGGGCTTACCTCGAGACCCCACGTACGGTATGATCCTAGACTCAAAGCATACATGGCATGGGGTCTCAAAATCCTCCTGTAGATAAGAAACTAGTGTGGGGTAGGGATGAGTTGGAGAGGGATCCCGGGAGTAGGTGAGAGATCTGCCAAGTCCTCAAGCCCCAGGGACTGCTAAACACACTCACCTTCTGTCCCCATGCTGGGGACCCCTTGGCTGGGGAGGGGTCGGAGACAGCATGGCTCACCATAGCTATTGACTTGGGATGGAGTCATGGAGTTGAACATGGTATCTCGGGGAAGAACGAGGGACACTGTAGGAAGGAGGAGTGCAGATTTGCCAAGTCATAAAGAGGACGAGAAACAAGAATGGCAATCTCAGCCACAAGACCGTGGCCAGCAGGCCCCTTGTGCCCCCAACTTCCCTGAGAATGGTCATGGAAATCAAGTTGAAAATAATGCCATTCAACAGCGTTAAGAAGAAACCTCCCATAGAGCAAGAAGTCTGTAAGTCTGGGGGATCTTTTGGGGGAACTGGGTAAGTGTCTCATGGTCTGTGTATGCACATGGGGAAAGTATGGACTAACTGATCCAACATAAACTCCAGGCGATTTTAATGTCATGATCCCTCCACTGCTTCTCGTTCTGGTCATGGCCAGCTTTGAAGAGTATGTTGGAGAAACACTGACTTCATGCCAGGGACTGCTTGCTTGCTTGCTCTCTCTGAGCGCCAGCCCAAGAAGGCATGCATATGCAATCTCTCCCGTGTCCAGTAGAGGGAGACCTCGCTTCAGTCCAGATTGGCTGGTGGGGCCAGAAGAGAACATAAATGATCTGTCCTCTTAGACAGAGAAATGTGTGGGAGGGAATCAGGCTTAGGAGCAGAGTGTCTCCCGTCTGTTGAGTAAAAAGGATGGAAGCTAAAGTCATTCTGAGGCTGCTTGAGTCTGGGCCTACTTAACCCTTCTGGTCGAGGGGAACTGGAAAGGAACTATGAGGAAGGGCTTAATGAGGATGAGAAAACAAAACTCCTCTAATTAGGAAGGAGAGGGAGAGCAAAGAGATAGTGCGAGGTCCGGTTTTCCTTCTCGCAACCAGTTTTCACTCCACTCCACGTTTTTCGGTCTTCCGGGAGCGGAGGGTGGGGTGGGGCGGGGTGGGGTGGAGAACCACCGGGAGCGGGCGGGCCGGCGCGGTGGGTGATCCCGGGATGCTGGGATTTAGGGTGAGGGCGGGGCAAAACGGAGAACGGAACCCTACGACCCAGCCCAAGAGCTGTAGCCTGGGTTGTACCTATGCTAACTCCTCCTTTTTCAGCTGAGTCCCGGATCCCGCATCCAAGACCTCCCAACTCGACCTTGGCACTAACGTTGGGGGTGGGGGGCACAGCTGGCTGGCAGCTGGATGAGGGGCATGTCTTCTGCCTCCTCTGCTATGACTCATTCAAGGGAAGGGGGAGGACTTGCAAACGACCCCCAGACGCTAGATGCTCCCTCAAAGATGTCAGTCTTATCTTCCTGTCCCATTGCCTGTCTACCCCAGGAGACCCGATGAAAATGGGGCGACAGCCCTCTTCTCCCACGCGTGCCACAGCCTACACTCACGCCTCCCTCTTCATACTAGTAAATATGTCGCTAGCTAGCTTTTCCAGTTTCAGTGAAGGTTTTCTGGGCGGAATGGGGCAGAGCGCACTCAGAGTTACCCTGCCAGAGACCCGAATCATCTTCAGTGTCTATTTTCCAGAGTCCTGTACGTACGTACCCCTTCTCCCCAACTCCCAGGAGTCGGCCCCACCCCCTTCTCCCGGTCCCGCCTTCCCCGCCCCCGTGCCTTCTCGGCCCACCCAAGTCGCCGCCGCAGGCTCCGGCTGCAGACGGCTCAGCTTCCCCCGCCCGCCTGGGGAGCCCAGAAAAGCGGGGGGGGGGGGGCGGGTGTGTGTGTGTGTGTGTGTGTGTGAAGGGTGGAACATTCTTCCCTTCTCTCAGCGCATCCTGAAAGCAGGCAGTGGCGCGCAGGGTGGGGGCGCTATTGGAAAGTGGGGTCCCTATAGTGGAGTGGGAAAGAAGAAACCAGACACTACTGAGAGAAGGGCCTGGGTAGATAAGGTGTGCACGGGAGGACACCTTGGATTCCAGAGTATCTCAGCTGGCTTCCTAAGGGTTAACCCCTATAGACCCCCGGGAACCCCCTAGTGACGTCAAGGGCGAGTCGGAGACGTCCGTCCGGCGGGGATGCCCAGAGAGATAATGGGGGGGGGGTCCTTCTGAACCCCGCCCCCTAGAGAAAAATCACTCGCTTTCTCAAGAACTTTTCTCCCTGAAAACTGCCCATCTTTTTCCCTGCACTGGAAGGAAAGACCTAAACCATAAAGTCCTTGGTTCTCCAAAACCCTCGGCCTCTATGGAGTTCCCTTTCCTTGATCCCGTCCCCAAAGCTAACTGTCCTGGGTTGATTGTTTCAGGGTCATGGGGCCTGAAAGAGGATTCAGAGCGGGGAGCAAGGGCAGGCAGGGTGGTCTAAGCTAGAGGAGGGGCCTCGGTCCCCAGCTCCCGTTTGGGCGGGGGGCCAACCGGGATACACAAGCTGGCAGTGGCCAGTGGTCCCGCTCTGCCCCAGTAGGGGTCTCCTGGCGCCTGGCTTCAGCTGCCCCGGTGGTCTTGAGGTCAGAGGGTCAAGACAAGGTCTCCCCAGCTCTTGCTCAGGGCCCTGCCCACAGTCCTTCAGACTAAAACACAAATTTCCTAGGGATTTTTCTAAGGCCTACACTACACGTTTGAAAACCCACCCAGCTTCCTTCCTACTCCTTTGCCCCCAAACCCAAGCTTCTACCGGGACATCTGTCACAACACAGGTCAAGAGTCCAATCCCAGCCCGGGCCTCAGTGATTTTGTTGCCTCAAACATTCCTATTCCCACCGCATTGAGCGCTCCCTCCTTTTGCGGTGGGTCCCCTCTTAGGAACACTGACGTCTTTCCAACGGCGCTCAGAGACGCACCTGGAGTTCCGTCTACCACGCAGACCTCCAGCTGGCCGTCCCAACAGCCTCTTCATGCCAACCTCAAGAAAGGGAGATATTTCTAATATGTGGGAGAGTACAAAGAGACCCAAGACAGACAGACTGCCGGAAGAAAAAGGAGATACGGAGAAAAGGAGGCACAAATTAAAGCTAAACAAGAAAAACACCCAAACTTCCTAATGGCTCACCCCAATCTCGCCCACCCCATATTGTCTTTGCGCCCCAGGTCTTCTTGTGGGATAGGGTGAGTCCCTAGGCATCAGAGCATCTCCTCAGCCCCCTCCCCCACCGCTCCCAGGTGGTCTCCCCTCTTGCCCCCCTCTCACCTCCGTCTGGGCGCAGGGCTCGGGATGCGTGGTCCAGGGTTGGAAACTGGGCTGGGGGGTGTGCGGCGGGGAGGGGGGGCGACAGGGCCACTGCAGCGCAGCTTCAGTGCCACCCCACCCCCCCAACCTGGCCCCCTGCCCTCCCGCCGGCCCAGCCCGCCGGGCCGCGAGCCGGGACCACCCGCGAGAAGCGCAAACTTTTTTTTCCTTTTGCAAAAACTTTTTCTCGCTCTTGCCACTGGCGCACGGCCACTCTTCCCGCTCACTTCCCTCCAATATCCTTCCTTCAGGCCGTTCTAGAAGATGAAGTGGGGTGGCTAGAAGTTAGAGAGGGGGTGCCGGGCTTATGGCACCCCCAGGACCCCCAGGATCCTCCCCCTCCCTTGAGGGACCCTATACTGCCTACTACCCCCCCTCCCGAACACGCTGCTCTTGGTGGGCAGTAAATCCCGGCGCGGATTCATGGATCGGCTGTCCACGAAGAGGACCTGAACCAGAGCCAGGAAAACATTGAGGAAAATATTGCGAGGCTGGAGAGGACAGTGGGGGAGCGGGGAGGGGGAGGGGGAAGCTCACCCCAGAAAGTTAACTTTGATGGTACGGCCGATGGCTTTCGTTGGTCTTAACTGGGCATTCTCCATGCTGTGGTCTATAGGCCAGCCTCACTCTTAGATTGGAACGTGGAGGATTTGGGAGAGTTAGGGTTTGGGCAAAAGGAGTTGGGTTGGCTGTGGTAGAAAGTTTTGGGGATGCGGCCTAAGGAACATGAAAGAGGAACATGGGCTTAAGTTCTAAGTGCCAGGTGTGTGTTCACAGATCACTGAAGTGTCCTCTGTTTTAGTACCTCTCCAGAGAACCTTCGCTCTCCATCTCCAAATTCTGGAGACTGCTGCCACCTCCACACCGCTCGCTTTAAGGCTTTTGCGCCCTCTGCTGGTCGGCTTCGCACATGTCACTCCTATGTGCCAAGTCTAGTTGGTCGCACTGGCGAATTTAAGGAAAGTTGACAGGTTCCCATTGGTAAGGCCCAGGTAGGAGCCCAGGGAGGGAGCTGCGTGAGTCTGAAGAAACAGAAGGGCACACCAGGGGAGACTGCTAGTCCCTCAAGGTGGTGCCTGACGGGGGAGTAGCCTGTCTCTTTGGATTTGTGTTGTAGTGGCGACTGGACACGGGGCAGAGGGCAGCTAGTTCCGTTTCCCACCGGGGAGAGAAGTCAAGGCTTGGTGCCTTGAAAGCAGTCCGTGCCCTAGCGCTGCTCTAAGCCACCTTCTTGGGCCTGCAAAGTATGTTTTTTAAAAAAGCAACAACAAAACGAAAGTGAGGTAAAGCTAGGGACGGGTCTGAGACCTTACAAAGGCCAGTAACAATTGTGGGGGTGGGAACAGATAAAGAGTCAACTACATGACCGACCGGTTCCATCCGTAGAAGATACAAGGAAGCCAACGTCAGGCCGGACCAGTGACCACAGAGAAAGAAAGAGCGTTGCATATGTCATGTGACCCACCTTCCACGCTTGGACAATTATGGGGCCTTCTGAATTCTGTGGGAAGGGAATTATTTTTCGTGTTTTGGAGTCAGGCTGACCTCGGACTCCTAGCGTCTTTGATGACAAGCACAAATCAACATGGGGGGGGGGGCTGACTGCTTCTGTGTGTCAACTTGATGCAAGCTAGTATCATCAGAGAGGAAGGAGCCTCCGCTGAGGAAGTATCTCCATGAGATCCAGCTGTAAGGGATTTTTTCAATTAGTGATAAAACAGGGGAGGACCCAGTCCATGGTGGGTGGTGCTGTCCCTGGGCTGGTGGCCCTGGGTTCAATAAGAAAGCAGGCTGAGCAGGCCATGTGAAACAAGCCAGTAAGCAGCACCCCTCCATAGCCTCTGCGTCACCTCCTGCCTCCAGGATCTTGCTCTGTTTGAGTTCCTGTCCTGACTTCCTTCAGTGATGAACACTGATGTGGAAGTGTAAGCCAAGCAAGCCCCTTTCCCCAACCTGCTTTATGGTCACGGTGTTTTGCCACAGCCATAGAAACCCTAACTAAGACACCCAGTTTCTCCTAGATTTATTTTTTTATTTATTTAATTTTTTATATTAGCTTTTTAATGTTTATTTATTTAATGTGTATGAGTGTTTTGCCTGTATGTATACTGCATATATGTATGTATATATGCAGCATATATATGTATATAAATACATATATATACACATACATATATGTATGTATGTATTTACTCCATGCGTTTCTGGTGCCTGAGGTGTTCAGAGGAGAAAGTCAGATCCTCTGTGGGTGCTGGGACTTGAACTCAGGTCCTCTGGAAGAAGAGTTGGTGATCTCAAACACTGAACCATTGCTCTATCCCTGATGATTGGTTGATTGATTGATTGATTTTGAGACAGAGTCCCTCCATTTTAGCCCTGGCTGTCCTGGAACTCACTCTGTAGTCCAGGCTGGCCTTCAACTCACAGAGATCCGCCTGCCTCTGCCTCCCGAGTGCTGGGATTAAAGGCGTGCGCCACCACCGCCCGGCTCATGTTGATTTATTTTGTGTGCCTGTAGCAGAGGGTACATCTGAGTGTTGTCTTAGCCGTTATTCTATTGCTGTGCAGAGACATGGTGACCGCTGTAACTCCTATGAGAGAAAGCATTTCATTGGGGCTGGCCTACAGTTTTAGAGACTTAATCCATTATCATCTTGGCAGGGAGCATGGTGGCAGGAAGATGCTGGGGAAGTAGCTGAGGGCTACATCCTGATCTTCTGGCAGAGAGACACTGGGCTTGGAAAAAAGCCCACTCCCAGTGACATAGTTCCAGCAAGGCCACACCTCTTCATCCTTACAATCCTTTCAAATAGACCAGGCATTCAAATAGTACCACGTGGGTGACCAGACACTCAACTATGTGAGCCTGTGGGAGTCGTTCTTACTCCAACCACCACAGGTGCCATAGTGTGTGGAGGCCAGGGGACAACTTGGAGGAATCAGTTCTCTCAGATATGTTACTGTCTGTCACTCTGGTAACATGACCAAGGCGACTTACAATAGGAAGTGTTTATTTGGGGCTTAAAGTTTCAGAGAATCCATCCATGACCATCCTGGTGGGGAGCATGGCAACGAGCAGGCAGGCATGATGCCGGAGTGGTCACTGAGAGCTTACATCTCATGATACAACCAGGAGGCAAAGAGAGAGCCAACTGGGAGGGCAATGCCATGCACTTCTGAAACCTCAAAGCCCTGGAGACACAGCTCCTTCCACAAGGACACTGTTGTGTGATATTTGTTCCCACGGACACTCCAAGGCTTCTAATAAAGTTAAACCTTGAATCAGAGGGAAGAGTCAGTGATTGATTGGAATTAGCCATAGATATGTTGGAGGACTGAGGGAGCCAGATAGAGAGGTATGGGAAGAGATTAAGCAGGGCTTGAGGAGATTTCTCGGGCTTTTTGATCTGGAAAACATAAGAGTAGGGTCAGCTAATTTTTCATCCGCTGTTCTTTGGATTTATCAGGTTTTTATCTCAATTTTTGACTCCTGTTTTTTTTTATGATTTATTTATCTTTATTTTATGTGCATTGGTGTGAAGGTGTCAGATCCCCTGGAACTGGATTTTCAGACAGTTGTGAGCTGCCATGTGGGTGCCGGTAATTGAACCTGGGTCCTCTAGAAGAGCAGTCAGTGCTCTTAACTGCTGAACCATTTTTTTTTTATTACTAATACTAGAACAGTTAAGATAAATGTATTAGGACACACCTTCTAATCTTTCCCACACAGTTCTACCAACTGGGACCAACTATTGAAATAAATGAGCCTTTGGGGGCATCTCATTCAGACCAGCACTGCACTGGCGGGAGTTGATTCTCTCCGTCCGCCATGGGTTTGGCCAGGTACTCAGGCCTGGCAGCAGTTGCCTTTCCCCGCAGAGTCATGGCATCTGCTCTCCACCTTTCTTTGGGATTGGTTTTTTTTGGTTTTGTTCTTTATTTTTTGGAGACTGGTTTCTCTGTGTAGCCCTGGCAGTCCTGGATCTCATTCTGTAGACCAGGCTGACCTCAAACTCAGCGATCCACCTACCTCTATCTCCTGAGTGCTAGGACCAAAGGTGTGTGATGCATTAATTCAGATCATCTCCTCCCCAGCACTGGGGTTCACAGACATCTCTGCCCTGGGATTTTATGCTGGTAGTGGGGAACCCAAGACAAATTCTATTTGGTAACACGAATTCTAATTATTCCTGGTAACAATACGAAGTCAGGGTGAAAGCTGAGAGATCAGAGAAGAAATGCAGACAGCCACTAAAGAGATCTTTCACCTCTACCAAATCCTCAGACCAGAAGAGTGATCCTGTCCTCAGACTGCGTCCTGTTACTGACTGCTTCAGGCTGCACCTCAGACTGCACCTGAGCTCCTGTCTTTTCCCACCTTATATTCCTCTCTCCGCCCAGCCACATCCCTTCCTGTCTCCACCTCTCTAGTGGTGGTATTAAAGGCATGGAACTCCCAAATCCTGGGATTAAAGGTGTGAGCCACCACTGCTTAGCCTCTAGTGTTATAGCTCTGCAGTCTGATCTTCAGGCAAGCTTCATCTGTTACAACACAAACAAAATGTCACCACATTGTATTGTGTGGCAGATGCTTACCCAGTGACTGTGCCCCCAGCCTCTCCTTAACTGCAGTCATTTTAGATTTATCTGTTTGATTTTATGTGCATGAGTGTTTTGCCTGCATGCACAAATGCGCACCACGTGCATGCCTGGTGCCTGTCGAGGTCAGAAGAGGGCACCAGGCCCCCTCACGCTGGACTTATTGATAGCTGAGCCAAGCCCTGTCCTCTGTGGGCACCAGGCTGTCTTAGGCCCTGGGCTAACTCTCCAGATTTTTAGCTCTTTTTAAATTAATTAATTTATTTATTGGTTTCTTGAGACAGGGTTTCTCTGTGTAACAGTCCTGGCTGGCCTGGAACTCACTCTGTAGCTGAGGCTATCCAACTTTTTATTTTTAATTGTGGAGTATGTGTATGTGAGTATGGGCACCCATGAAGGTCAAAGGTGTTCAATCCTCTGGAATTACAGGTAGCTGTGAGCCACCTGACGTGGGTACTGGGAATTGGAATCAGGTACTCTTAAATACTGAACCAACCCCCCAGTACCTTTTCTTTCAAATTTAAGAAAAAGAGCCTGGAGGTGGTGGCACTCACCTTTAATCCCAGCACGGGGGAGGCGGATCTCTGTGAGTTCAAGGCCAGCCTGGTCTACAAGAGCTAGTTCCAGGACAGCTAGGGCTGTTACACAGAGAAACCCTGTCTCTAAGAACAAAAACAAAACAAAACAAAAACAAAAAGAAAGAAAGAAAAAGAATTGATGCCTGATGCCTTCTTATGTGTGACTTCCATATGTTAGCACTGTGCTAAAATTTAAAGGCAGAAAGTGAGGTGAAAGAATGCATAGCCAGGCCAGGCGTGATGATTTAAGCCTTTACTTCCCCAGCACTTGGGAGGCTGAAGCAGGAGGATTGAGAGCTCCAGGCTAGCTTGGGCTGTTTTAAAAACAAGCAAACACCACCAAGAAAAGGTGTGTGTGGGAGGTGGAGAGATGGCTCAGCCATTAGGAACACTTGTTTCTCTTACTGAGGACCTGAATTCTGTTCTAGCACCCACATTAACTCCGGTTCCAGGGAATCCAGCACCCTCTCCTGGCCTCCATAGGCACTGCCTTGGAAGAGCTGCACTATATGCAGGCAAAAACTCACACACATAAATTAAAAATAAGTATTTTTTTTCTGAGACAGGGTTTCTCTGTGTAGCTTTGGATGTCTTGGAACTCACTTTGTGGATCAGGTTGGCCTCGAACTCACAGAGATCCGACTGCCTCTGCCTCCTGAGTGCTGGGATTAAGAGTGCGCCACCACCACGCTGCTATAAATTTTTTTTTAAGGGGAAAAAGGGAAAGAACAGACAAGCTTCTAATCTCTCGGCAGTGATGTAGTTGCTTTATTAGGCAGCATACTCTGGAAAACGCCGCGTATTGTTTGTTTGCTTTGAGACAGGATCTCAGTAGCTAAGGCTGACCTCGAATTCATGCTCTTGAATTCTTTTTTTTAAAAAATATTTTTTATGGTTTATTTAATTTTATTTTATGTGCATTGGTGTGAAGGTGTCAGATCCCCTGCTACTGGATCTTCAGACATTTGTGAGCTGCCATGTGGGTGCTGGGAATTGAACCCGGGTCCCCTGGAAGAGCAGTCAATACTCTTAACCACTGAGCCATCTCTCCAGCCCCACACTCTTGAATTCTGGTAATCTTCACCTCATGGTGTTCCTCCTGCCTCAGTCTCCTGAGTGCTGGAATCATAAGTGCAAACCACCACACCCACTGTACAACGTAGAGATAATGAGAGCAAGAAGCAAATGACATCTTGATATTATTATGAAAATGTTTTTGAAAGCTCTGAGTGGGCTGGCTTCAGGGGCCTGCCAAAGGTCCCCAGACCACACTTTGCTTATGCCTCGTCCCTCAACCCCTTATCACGACTCACTGTTGCTTTTCTTTCTCATTTTTATTAAGAAAGTATAAATTATGTCTTCCATGTGGGTCTTGTCTTCTGGGGAAAGCTAGGGAACTTCACGGGCCCAGCATCCCTTCTTACCGACTCTCGATCCCAGGCCCTCTAACCCCCTTAGCCCTCCCCACACACATCTTGCTCATCTTCCTATTGACATTGCTTCAAAGCAGGCAATAGTCGCTGTTATTAGCCTGCTTGTTTGCCTTTTCCCAATCGACTGGGCCCTCTACTTCTTCCTCCGTTACTTGAGGAATTTCTTTTCCGGGGAGAGACTAAGTCATTTCCCCCTGCCTTCTTCTTTCCCTCCCACGACATCCCTTGCTGTCCTGGAACAGGGCTCCATGTAGGAAATGACGCTGGCCAGGCAGTCCCATGAAAAGGAAGCAGTTTCCCCATCTGGCTACATTTGAAACAGCCTGAAATAGACGGGAATCTAGGACGAGAAAATGCCCATCTCAGTTCCGTAGAGGTCAAACCCAGTCACACTGCCAGGTCAGCAAATCTCACGCTTCCAGACACGGGAAGCCAGGGAACCCTCAACTTGAACCTTGAACTTCACTCAGAACCTTTAGGTCTTCTTGCTAGCTGCAGCCGCAGGCCTCTACGACCATGTCTGGCACATCGGTCTTGACCACGTTACCGTTCTGGTCGAGGTAGAGGATTGAGAGAGGTCTTCGGGCAGTGGGGACACAGCAGGAAGAGCCTGCAGGCCAAGGGTTGTTGGCTTTGAGGAGGCTAAAGACAGCAGAATGGAAGGAGGCAGCAATGCCAGGGCTGCCAGCCAGGTGGGGCGGGCACTGCCCACTGCAGTAATTCAGCTGGTATCCTTCAGGCTGCAGGATCCAGTCTCGCCACCCCAGCTCCTGGAAGTCCACATAGTGGTCTCGCCTACAACATAAGGGGGTCTCAGGCTCACAGGTGGGAGTCCTCCTCCTGGCCCTGCCTGCTCCGGGTTCATTAGCTCGGATCTTAAGTTCCAAGAAGGGCCGTTGCTGTCCCCCTGTGTCCAAGAGTCGCCTTGGCAGTCCAGTGACAGTGCTGTTAGGGTTCCAGGGTCTGTAGTCCAATTGGAGTTTGACGACTCCAGATTCCTCACTCCTCAGGCCACTAGAGGGCAGAGTCAGGGCGTGCCAGCCTGAGGAAGTCGCTTGGTGCTCAGCTAGGAAGGTGCGGGATCCTCGGCACCTCCTGGTGCCGCAACGGAAGATTCTCAGGGAGAGCGTGCCAGGGAGAGACGGAGGCACATGCAGCCAGAGGCGAGCATGGTACAGGTGGTGGGACCAAAGAGGGGACAGCTGGAATGTGAGCATGGAGCGGTAGGCTGAAGTGGATTTGCCTGCTCAAACGATTAAAAAAAAAAAAAAAGCAAAGAAAAATGTGAACAGAGACAAAGCTTCCTTGACTTTCCAGCCACCCTGCCCAGGACCGTCCCTCACTCAGACCTCTGGGAAGAGCCTGGACTGCCCGAGTCTTCACAACCATACTTGCCCTCAGCTCCTCCTTCTCTTGCCACACCCCATTCCTCCTGCCTCCCTTGCCGGGCTCTCTTTCTTCCTCCTGTTCCCTGTCTCTCTCCCCTCACCCACCTACGGTGGTAGCAAAGCTGATGACTTCCTCTCGGTTGCCAGGAACCACGCTCTGGGGCTGCAGTCTCCGGAGGGCTCTGGTTAGTGCGGCCTGGGGCAGAGGACGACTTATTCTGGGACGGCTGGTCAGGTGCAGCCCCTTCAGAATTTGCTGCTTGGCTAGCTCTAGGACCAGAGCGCGTTCTCCTTGGGGTGCCAGGGTTGGGCCTCCACAGGACGGGCATGCAGATCTTGCGCTCTGCACCCACGCCAATGCCCACAGAAGCACTGGCCAGAGATGGACATCTGAGAGCCCCATGCCCCAGGTAGATGGCCCAGAGTTGAGAGCCTCGGATGGCAGTTTAACGAGCCAGAGGGGGCAGCAGTAGCAGCAGCAGCCCGCAGGAGCAGGAGGAGCAAGCAATGGCTCAGCTACTTTTGAGGAAGGGCAGAGAGAGCTACTTGTCCTCGATGGCCCGGGGTTCAGGAAGCCTGAGAGCAGATCATCTGATGGGTAGCTATGTTTGACCCTCACAGCTCATGGCTGGCTACTGAGCACGGTCTCTTTAGAGCCTACTGCTTGGGCTCCCTCACCTAGTGGTCAGCCTGCACACCTAACCTCTGAGCCTTAGGATTGGCCGGCTGCACTGCCCATCAGGCCCCTGCAGGGGGTGGCGGTCTCCCCCAGGGTTCAAGTTTCGCCCTCTGACTGTGGTGACTTGAGGTAGGGGCATGAGGTAGGGGTGCAACGTGGCCATGCATGATGCAAGAAAGAGGATGATTTCATGGTCGCTCAGTTCCCAAGGTCTGGGACTCAGAGGAGTAACTCCAGGGGAGCCAAGTGGGGAAAGGTGGCTCTTTAATGCCCCCTGTCTTCCCAGCTTGCTCACCTAACTACTGTAATAGTTTTATGAGGCAGCCATGGGTTCCGATGGTTAGTTCTCGGGGGGTCTCCAGGTCAGAAGAATTCTGGTGTTCATTTCTAGCTTTACAGATGGGATAGGGGTGAGACTTTAGAAGAGGTTGTGGGAAAATGGAGTCCCCTTGCTCAGGCCAAGGTGGCAATGCCACGGGATATTGAAGTTACCTTTTGACCCTGCCTGTGCTGGCTGCCCAGAGTCCAGCTGGGGGAGGGGCCAGAGCAAGGGGTGAGGTCGTGCTTCTGTGATGTCTGGGGAAATCCAGAGAGGTGGGGGTTGTAGTGATGCAACCCGACAGCAGCACAAAGTCCATCGAGGCTGGCAGAGGGCATGCGCCTTTGCAGAGCCTGTGCCCAGAGACCACTTGTCTTTAGAACACTGTGGGAGTTGGCTAACTCTGAGGCATCCCAGGGGTGGTGCCAGGCCTCTGTTAATGTGGTCGGAAATGGGAGTTTAAGAGATAAAGCAGGGAAAACTTAGCCGCCCTGGCTGCTCATCATCCAGCCTTCCAGTCGCTCGTCACGGACTTTGAGTATGTATGTGTGTGAGGCCGGAGGACAGCCCTGAGTGCCACCTCAGGGACTCCATCCTCCTTTGAGGCAGGGTTTCCCATTGGCCTGGAGTTCATCCATTAGACTAGACTGGCTGGCCAGTGAGTCCCAGGGATTGCCTTGTGTTTCTGCCTTCCCAACAACTGAGATCGCCAGCTCATGTTCCCATTTCTCCCTGGGCGCTGGAGACTCTAGGGCAGGTCCTATGTTTGTAAGGGAATAGCTTTACCTTCTGAGTCATCCCCCAGTCTCTGACTCCATTCCCCTCCTCCCCAACCCCTAACACCTTCCCACAAAGGGTTTCTCTGTGTAGCCTTGGCTGTACTGGAACTCTGTAGACCAGGCTGGCTTCAAACTCAGAGATCCACTGGCATCTGCCTCCCAAGTGCTGGGATTAAAGGTGTGCACCACCAGTGCCCGTCTTTTTTGTTTTGTTGTTGTTTTTGTCTTTGTTTTGTTTTGTTTTGGTTTTTCGAGACAGGGTTTCTCTGTAGCTTTGGAGCCTGTCCTGGAACTAGCTCTTGTAGACCAGGCTGGTCTCAAACTCACAGCGATCCGCCTGCCTCTGCTTCCCGAGTGCTGGGATTAAAGGCATACGCCACCACTTCCTGGCTTATTTTTGTTTTTTTTTTGAAGCCCTGTTAGATTTATTTTATTATTATTGTTGTTAATGTTTTTTTTTGGTTTTGTTTTTTGTCTTTTGAGATGAAATGTTCCTATGTTGGCCAGACTGGCTAGTACTCATCGGTGTAAGTAAGTGACCCTCCTGCCTCAGTTTCTGTAATAGTGAGACTGTGGCGAGTTATTTCTTTTTCTGTTACTGTTGTTTGAGTCAGACTCTTTTGTGTTCCAGGCTGATTATGAACGTCTTCTGTAGCTGAGGGTGACCTTCATTTCCCTATGTTGCTAAGGGTGATCTTCTGTCCTTGAGTGCTGGGATCAAAGGGAAGAAGCATCTACCACACCTGGCTTTTATCCGGTGCTGAGGACTGAAACCAGGGCTTTGCACATGCTAGGCTAGTACCTTACCACTGAGCTACGCAGTCAGCCCTCAGGTGCATGACCTTAAATGGAAGTGACCCTCTATCTCTATACAAGACGGTGGTAGCTGTAGCTTTCTCCCTGGGTCCCAGTTTCTTTAGGAAGCAAGAAGGCATCTGTGGGGAAGCTGTAAGCAAAAGGGGTGTGGTTTAGGGCCCCCACCCATTCTCCATCTTCCCCTTCTTTAGCTGGTGGTGTCCGCCTTGAGAGTTCTAGATCTGGACCAGGGGAAAAGGATGTTCTTTGCCGACTGAGTCTCAGTACCACCAGTGTCCACCATGTGGCAGTGCCTTGCCACTGGACAGCAGCCACTGGACACCAGAGAATCCTGGGGACAAAGCTGAGGAAGCTGGAGAGATGAGAAATGCCTCCTCTTCTCCCTCCCAGGCAATGGAAAGGGCTGGTTCCTCTGTTCCTTTGCCTCTCTACTGCCAGACAGAAGAGGAAGTCCCCAGTACTCCATTGCCAGGTGTCCCTGCCACCTTTGACACCTGGCAATGGAGCCTGATGGTAGAGGTCGGGCTTCCCAGAAATTCAGGGCGCCATGAAATGGAGAGGGAGGAGAAAGAACTGGGAGACACTGCTATTCACCTGCTCTTCTCCCCAGGCCCTGAAACGTATTCAGGACTTTTGGCTACTGCTCTCTCTCTATATATATATACCTCTCAGCTTCCTCTCTGCTGGTCCCTGCAGGTGACTGACTGCCTGCTAGCCTCTGGGGTCTGGACCATGAGGCTCTAAGTGCCCATCTCTGATGGTGCCTAGGAGGGCTTACCTATTTGTGCCAGGAATCAGGCTCAGGGGAAGTAGCAAGAAGTGGCTGTAGGAGTCACTGACGACACCTTTCCCACACCCTTCGCTGTTGCGCCTAGCCCGGTCCTACCTCCCCGCTGACACTTACGTCAGAACTTATCTATAAATACGCCCCTAGCGCCTTAGTCACTTTCCCAAGAAGTGCTTCCAGGTTATAAATACCCAGGCATCTGCCGCACTGCCCGCCCTGCCACCGCGCTGGTGGGGGGCTGGGGGATAGTGAGAGGTTCGAGAGAGGGAAAGGAAATAGGAGAAGCAGGGCCATTTATTTGCCCAAATGAGAACAGCCTGAAGGAGTCGGGTAGGGGTAGGAGGCTCAGGGAGAAAATGTGTAGAAGATGACAGGATCTTCCATTCCTTTCTTACAGAAAGCAGAGCCAAAAGAGAAAGTGAATAACACGAATCCTGTGTTTATTTTTAAATATGCTGCTTTGCTCATTGTGGATCTGCAGCATTCACGATGTCGGAAAGTAGTTCATTAAAATGCTGGTTTTCTCCATTGATGAATTACTTGCATTCACCTTAAAATCTCACCCCTAGGTGAGCACCTCGCTTTGCCTTACCCTGGTCTGGTCCTGGGCACTGAAACTGTTCTTAGAGCTGAGAGAGGCCTAAAAGTGGGACAGATTGACCGAAGGGAGAGGAGGAGACGCTGCGAAACCTCGGGACTTGAAGGAGGTCTTCTCAAATAAAAGTGGAACGACTCCCACGGTCTGCATAGGAAACCCCACGGCTCAGACCTGCAGGGCCCCAAACATTTCCATTGCAGGGACCTCTTACCCTGGTAGGAGGGGATTATACGCTAAGCAAACACAGACATCACATTACCCAAAGGACACATGGGCTTTGCGCAAACCTGGCCTTGGGCTGCAGACAATATCGACCCTCTGGGTCAGGGCTGTCCAGCCAAAGGGAGGAGATGTGAGGTGAGGAAAGAAGGGCAAAGGTCTAAAGAGGACCAGTTCTCAGAGTAAATGCTGCCCCCTCTTTATCCCAGGCCTTCCTCTTCTTGACCCACTAAAGCTTCCAGAGAGGACTCATGACTGAAGCTCTAAGAGTAGGCCAAAGGAAGGTGAGCCGGAGTTCCAACAGGTAGCTCTGAGTGCCTCTGCCTCCCACCCTGTGTGGCCAGGGTTGGCCTGCTTGATAATCGATTATTGATCTGTCTCATCTCTTGGAGTCAGAACAGAGGGAGATGAGAGTCAGGCAATAGTAGTTTATTATTAGTCATGAAACCCCTGAAAGTTCTGGAAGGAGGATGGAGGAAGATTAAAGAAGAAGAGGAACCTGGAGGAACATGAGATATGAAGTATGAGATGGACAGGACAGCTAAGCTGGAGGGGACCAGGTGGAGAGAGAGGAAGGTCCCGGCAGCAGACAGAGGGGTGGAGAGAGAGGAAGGTCCCGGCAGCAGACAGAGGGGTGGAGAGAGAGGAAGGTCCCGGCAGCAGATAGAGGATATTTTGAGCTATCTCAAGAGGACTCAGTGAAAGGGGTTACAGGGCCATAGTTAGGGTTAAGGGACCCAACAACAACAACAACAACAACAACAAACAGTGCCCAAAATTGGGTATGGTGGTGAAGGCAGGTGTGTGTTCTAGACAAGCCTGTTTTACATGGTAAATTAGGGGGAAAAAAAAGATTGTTCAGACACCAGGGACTAGAAAAATGGCAAGCCATCTGGATTCTTTAGTGTTGAAATAATGTTATCAGAGGCCACATGGACATAGTACAACCACGGCTATATGCAAACCTGGAGCCACATGGACATAGCACAACCACGGCTATATGCAAACCTGGAGCCACATGGACATAGCACAGCCACGGCTACATGCAAAACCTGGAGCCATGTATGTGGACATAGCACACCACAGCTACACAGAGCTGTGGCTTATAAATAAGTGGGGGGAGGTGGAAATAGAAAAACTCTTCTTTTTTCCCTTCTTTTATTTTGTGACAGGTCTTAACAGTGTAGCCCAGGTTAGCCGAGAACT